CTCAGCAGGACAGCGGACATAATAAATAGGAGTTTCAGAAAGCAGTGAGCCGCAATGAAAAGACGTATTCTGCAAGATCATGAACATAAGGGCCCCGAGTTTCAGGAAGCCCCTGCGCTTAACAAACCACGTGACACCTTCACGAAGCCTTTCCTTTCCCAAGTCTTGCAACAGCCGTCATAACATCCGACACTGCAAACCCTGGCTAAGAAAACCCTACACCCCTAGACCCTAATTCTTAAACCCTACTTAGAGGCCCAGGGAACTTAGTAAGTCGGTTATAAGTAGGGTTATAACTCCATTTAGGGTACTTATAACTCTACTTATAACCTACTTACTAAGTCCCCTGGGCCTCCAAGTAAGCCCCCAAAGAAGCGGCGATCTGTCGAGTCGCCATGCAAGGGTTTCTCGTGCACGCCATGTGCGAGAGCAAAGCGACAGCAACCTCCCCGTGGTTTCAAGGTTCAGTAACCTAAGCCTCAACATAGCCCAAGAGCCTCATACTCAAACCCTAAACCCTAAACCCTATGGTCTTTGGGCCCAGAAGCCTTAGAATATGAGTCGTTAGAGCCTTTCTAAGGGTACAGTAAACCCTGAGGGTAAAATCCTCATGGCCTCAAAGTCCCATACGGATGGCTTTAAGCCTGCATTACCAATAATAAGGAATATACCATAATTCCGTAGTTTAGGGCGTTTAGGGTCCTTAAGGTAGTGCAGGAGTTTATACCAACAGTAGTAAGGCATACTTGTTTCCTTCAAGTCTAGGGCCAGGCCTCAACTAAGGGTGGGTGGGGCGGCTCCTAGGCAGCCACAAACCCTCTCGTGGTTCCCTTCGTTTGCGCCTGCCACTGTCCGCCCCTCTCGCAGGCTCCGGCTGTTGCATTGAAGCCTCACTTGCTCAGTCTCCTCTCTGTTCCGCGGTTTTGGGTTTGGGGTTTCACCGGTTACAGTCAGAGTTCCTATAAGTCCCTGAACTCCAAAGCCCTTAGGGTTTAGGGGTTTAGGGTTTAGGGTTTAGGGTTTAGGGCTTAGGGTTTAGGGTTTAGGGTAAAGCAGCTGATAGAATCGGGCACCAGCGAAGCCGTCGGCAGACGTGAAAAGAGCTCAATGGCCTGTCAGAGCAACAGGCGGATGAACAGAAAGACAAGAGATATATGACAAGGGGGATAGAGATACATATATTTAACCATACATACATATTCACATACATACATACATACATACATACATACATACATACATACATACATACATACATACATACACACATACACACATAGGTACATACATCCATCCATCCATCCATCCATCCATCCATCCATGCATGCATGCATGCATAGACAGATGGACAAGTAGACAGATAGACGGACGGGCGGACAGACAGGCAGACAGACACATAAATATACATATATATATATATATAAACACAAACGCACACTCCGCGACATGAACTTGCACCGACCGGCATGTCGTCGAACGGAATGCTTTACTCTCGAAGCCGTGCCACCTGCACCCAGCGCCGCGCCAGCGAGCTGAGGGTGGCGTTGAAGGAGACAAGGTTGGGATCAGACGCGGCGGCAGACATCTTTTTGAGCCTGGGGCCCTAAACCCTAAACCCTAAGCTCTATACTCTAAACCCTATTTTTGTTGAGCCTTGGGCTGCTCTCTAAGCATCGGCTCCTTTAAATGAGCTTCTTTCGGGGTCTAGTGGTTTTTGAGCTCCTTTTAGGGGTGCCTGTAAGAGTGTAGGGTTTTTTCTTTTTAGATTTGGGGTTTAGGGTTTAGGGTTTCTATAAGTGCCTAGAAAGTAGAATGCAGGGTTTCTATGTTAGGAATTACGATTATGAGTTCGGGAAGTATCACCCTTACGATTATGATTTAGGGAAGTATCGCCCATGAGGTCCCTTTGGGACGGTATGTATTTTGTCCGTTTAGGGTTTCGGGTGCAGGGTTTAGGGTTTTACAGGAACCTCTTTCAGGCCAAAGTGTATATGGGTACATGGAGGCTGGGCTGGGGTGGTTCATACCCGATGCTTAGCTTCTTTGTCAGCTTAGGGCTTTGGGTTGAGTTTACGGTTCAAGCTCGTTTAGGGTGATAGGCTTTAGAGCTGTCCTATAGGCCAATCCATACAATCCTGGCGGCCCTATTGAACTCCATGTGCCCTACACCCCACACATTTACGCGTAGAACCTAACCACCAGATTAACCCTAAACCCCTAAAAGCCCTAAAAGCCCTAAAAACCCTCAAAACCCTAAAACCCTAAAAGCCCTACCTCACTTGTTGCATGTCCAGGAAGTATGGAGCCTAACGACCCAGAACCCCCTTCACCAACTGCCGGAACCCCCGACGAACATGGACCCTGAACTCTAACAGGGTTGAGGTTTAGGGTTTGGGGTTTGGGGTTTAGGGTTTAGGGTTTAGGGTTAGGGTTTAGGATTTAGGGTGTAGGGTTTAGGATTTAGGGACCCTAAACCCCCAAACTTTGAAAATCCCAGGAGCGTCTGAAGAGCCAGATCCCATCTCTCGCTCTTCTCCAAGGCACTTAGCGAAGCATTGAAGCATATCACCTCGTGTGGTTAGGATTTAGGGGTTTAGGGCTTAGGGTTTAGGGTTTAGGGTTTAGCGTTTAGTGTTTAGGGTTCAGGGTTTACGGGTTTGGGTTTAGGGTCAGAGGGTTGATTGTAAGAGTTCTGTCAATCCAGGGTTGGCTTGTACTTGCTCAGCAAGGGTTCAACCGGAGTTGATGATTCATTAATTAGTCGCAATTTCAGTGTTCCTAGCAGCTTGAAATCACGTCAGGGTTTCTGAGGTTTTACAGGCGATTTGCAAGACAGTAGGCTGTAAAGCTAATGAGGCTCAACCCCTCCAAAAACACTTTACCAACGCTCTCAAAACAATCCTCTCACTACTAAGACCCTGCTCCCTTAATCAGCAAAATCAGAAGATCCAAACAGCCTCCAAATATTGAGATAAGACAACGACCTTTGTGTTAAATCGGTCCATGTACCAAATAGAATAGACGTTGGCCTTAATGTAGCCCCGAGCTACGCACTTTGGGGCCCAAGTTTTTACTATTTGGGTACATGGAGCCCTAAACCCTAAACCCTAAACCCTAAACCCAAAAATCCAAGCCCTTTAGGACTCCTTCGAGGAACCCTTCAAGGAATCCTTCAAGGAACTCCCTAAATGGAAGCCCTGCAAAGGAACCCCTTAAAAGGCACCCTTAGAGGAACCCTTGACGGAACCCCTTAAAGGAGACCCTTACAGGGAATCCTTAAAGGAACCCCTTACAAAGTAACCCCTAAAGGAACCCCCTCCAGGAAACCCGCAAAGGCAATCCGTAAAGGAACCCCTTAAAAGGACGCCCTTAAAAGGAACCCTTTAAACGAAGTCTCAAAAGGTACCATGAGAAGGAACGCTAAAAAGGAACCCCCTTCACAGGAAGTCTCAAAAGGAACCCTTAAAAGGAACCCCTAAAAAGGAAGACCCTTCACAGGAGGTTTCCAAAAGGAACCTCAAAAAGAGCACCTAAAAAAGGAACCACCTTAAAGGAAGTCTCAAAATGAACCCTTAAAAGGAGCCCCTGGACAAGGAACCCCTTAAAAGGAACCGTTCAAAGGAAGTCTCAAAAGAAACCCCTAAAAGGAACCCCTTAAAAAGGAACCCCTTTAAACGAAGTCTCAAAAGGAGCCCCTGAAAAGGAACCCGTAAGGGTACATGGGCCCTTAGGCCCAAAAAGTCCTAGGTCCTGTTATGGGGGGGATACTTCCCCAAATCATAGTAGTAATTCCTGATACAGAAACCCCACATTCTACTATATATAGTAAACCCCAAAAAGCTGGAAACCGGATCAAGGACAAATCGTGCTGGGATTCCCTATACATTACTTTTAAGGATTGAGGCTATCGGGTTTCCAACTTTTGGGCTTCTACTGTAGGTACGTTGGGCCCATTGGGATGGGTAGTTCTCTAAAGTCGCGCCCTTTTTTCGGTCCCAACTCTAGTACGGCACCCTTATAAAAAGGACCCTAATTTAGAGAACTACCCATATAGGTACTTTGGGCTTTGGGCGGAGGGGGCTTCAGGTTTGAGTATCTTGTTCAAGGCTGCGCGATTCCGAGGTGGTATCCTAAACCCTAAACCCCAAGCCCTAAACCCTATATGTTGGTGAACTGGGATGGCTCGCGCCGTCATTCCAGTCATTTTGGGACTGGAATTCCGGTTTCTTGACTACAGGATGTCCCTCAGAGCTCAGCTGCCTATGTGGGTAGTTCTCTGAAGGATGGTCCCGTTTTGGGTCCCAGTTCAAGTACGGCGCCCTTATAAAAGGGACAACAAAAGGCATGCTAATTTCGAGAACTACCCATGTAGAAGTTTACTGAGCTAGGTGTCTACTTGATTTAGAAGGTCTATATAGGGCTTTAAGCAGCTTAATAGTAGTACCAATAACAATAACACTAAGTATAATAGCAAGAATAATCACAATAGGTATCATAACAAATTACAAGAATCATAT